AGTGAAACACTGTCTGATACGTTGATCCCACATAGATAGATCTTAAAAGAACACCACGTTCCAGGCAGATCCTCTTTACCAGTTAAGTTAAGCTATTGTTTGGTTTTAAGAATACTTCAGGGGATATTTTCGGGTCAAGGTTTAAGATTATCCATAGGGTTTCCAAGGCTGTGACTTTTTTTCAGGCATGTCTGGCCAACTTTTTGGTATTATTGGAGTGCTTAACCATTTGAATCAGCCGGGGACACCATTTCCATCACAGCACTTGTTAATAGAGCCTATGTGCCTGGATCCCTGTTCTGGGCACCTGACCTAAGACATTACAATGCCTGAAAGGCTGAGATGATTGTAATGTAAAGGAAGGGATCTGCAAAAAGAGAAGGTGGAGACAGACCAGATGCAGGAAACTGATTCAGGAGGGGAGGACTGTCCTGGGGAACAAGGAAATGGCTAACCAAGGCCAAGGGGCTGATGGGACAACGTCAGCAAATTCTGAAAGATGGAAGTGAATCAGGTGAAAGAGAGAGCCCTGAAATGCAAAGGCTTGTCTTTATATATAATCAATAGACTTTATTTTTTTGAGAAGTTTTAGGTTTATTGAGAAATGGAGCAGCGAGTAGAGAGTCCCCTGAAGCCAGTTTCTCCTATTAACATCTTGCACTAGTGTAGGAGTCCTGGTGGCACAATGATTAAGCACTTGGCTGATATTCCATCCTATAGGATCACTATGAGTTAGAATCCACTTGATGGCCACAGGTTTTTAATGGTGCATTAGTACCTTTGTTTCAATTGATGAGCCAATATTAATGTTATTATTAACTAAAGTCCACAGTTTACCTTAGGATTTATATTCCTGTTGTATAGTTCTACGGGTTTTGGACATGCGTAAAGTCATGGTAGCACCATTACAGTATCATATGGAACAATTTCACTGCTCTAAAAGTGGCCTGTGCTTTACATATTAATCCCTCTTTCCTCCCCCACCCATTTTTCCTCCATCTAGTTTTTGGGATCCACAGGAACCCAACAACCTTCACGAAGAGGATTGTGCCAGCATGAACAAGGGTGGTACCTGGAATGACCTTTCTTGTGATAAAACTACATATTGGATTTGTGAGCGGAAGTGTTCCTGCTGAAGCTTGGGGCTGAGGCAGGGGGCCATACCCAGCATCCCTCAGCTGTAGCTCTTGGAGATGAGTACCTCCTTCCCCTCTGCGGGGGCCTTGCCTCGTGAACACATGTGGATGTGACCAAATTGGATTGGCAGGCTGGATGTAGCAAGTCCCTGGGCTGCAATTTGGGCCATTTCTAAGGCAAGGACATGGGCTAACCCAAATGGTTGGTGAGCTGGAGACACACCAGGATTTGGTGCCAGTCTCCCAGTCCTGGGTCTCATGGGCCTTCACCAAGTTCCTCATCATGGCTCTTGGGGACTAGTGGTCCCAGGGCTCTGGGTCTGACATTGAACCAAGGGCTGAAATCCTCTGGTTCCTCTGAACCATGATGAGCTGGGGTTGGGCTTCCTTATTTATGACCTGCTGTGTACCGGCTTCTGGGAAGTGGGTGAGGCAAGCTGTTCTTGACAAGCAAATTTCTTGGTGAGGTTTGCTCAAACCAGGTGGTAGAATCTGACTTCTACTGAGATCTGGCCCATAAAACTTCTAGAAGTAGACCAGTTGAAAGACAAATCCTTGGTCATTCTGTAGGACAAACATGGAGCTATCTACCCATGTGTACTCTCAAGTGACCTGTGAGTTGTAAAGATCCTTGATGATATGATCAATTTTACTTCTGTGTGGACTTTCTTGGACTATTAGCTCTTGCCACTCAAAATGTCACTCTGTTGTATGGAACAGTTCTGGTTGCAGCAAGATGTTTGGCATCCTTGTCCCTTGCCCACTACATGCCAGAAGTACCCCACCTTCATCACCATGACTACCAAAAACTGCACCCTACAGGGCTGGTACTGCCTCCAGCTGAGCACAACTCAGCACGGCAACCCCTTTGGGCAATCACTGAACTCTTTCCAGGAAGGGGTGCACATTCTCCAAACCAATCAATTTATTTACCAACAAGCACCCTTGACTAATAACAGAGTCTTTCCTGTTTTGACAGAAAGCAGGTGATTAAGGCAAGGAAGCTCTGAGGTTGTGGGTGAGGTTGGGGCTTGCTTCATGTCTGCTTCCTTTCTTTGTCTCCTCCTACCTTCATACTCCTGCCCTCAACTCATGACTACCCCAATCAGTCCTCTCATACTGTCCACAGAAGGCAGAGTGGGTGGAAGCCCAGCCTTATGCCCTGTACCCAGGGGACCTTAGCTCGAATGACTGCTTCTCTAGGGCAGGGGAAGTTCTCACATCTCATAAGAGGAAACTTCAGTTTCACTAAATATGTGTGGTGAGAAATGAGGAAGCAGGGGCCTGTAGTCACAGCTAATTCACAATGGGGCATCCACGGTGCTGGCTCCAGCCTATCTGACTTCCACATCTTTCATGATTGCCTAATTGAGGACAGGGAGGTAAACATAAAAGAAGTCACCCTTTAGTTGCTTTGGGTCCAGGGCAACAAATGTTGGATGCTCTTGTCAATAAAAATAGTAGTCATGGTTTGTCAAGTATGTATTGCTAGATGCATGCAGTAGTTCTGATATAATTATATGCTACAACTCCATGAGGTTGGAATAATTAATCTGGGAAGTCTGGGGTCTAGAGGGGTCTCATGGCTTGTCCATTGCCATTCAATGGATAAATGGCAGAGCTGAGATTTCATCTGTCTTTACCTCCAATGGTTCATTTCTTTCTGCAGCAGCTGGTGCCTTCCAAAGTATTGTTTGTAAACTTCAATTATCCCTGAGGACCCTGGACCTTGTAACTCTAGTCTTAGCTACCAGAGCTCCGTAATTATGGGAAAGGAGTAGTGGTGGAAAATAATAAAATATCTACTACCTGTTTCTTTACATAAAACATTGGCTGGTTACTTTTAGCCTATTTATGCTAGGCTAAGAGAGGGGCTGAGTTGGTAATTGTGTGATTCTTTTGAGGCTGTTATGATAATCCAGGTGAGTAATGATGGTGGCTTGGGCCAGAGACTGTGGAGATAGGAAAAATTCTGGATCTATTTTGTAGGCATAGCCAGTGGGATTTGCTGATGGACTGCATGTGGAGTGTGAGGGAAAGAGAAAAGAATGACTCTAAGGTTTTCAGTCTAAGCAACAGGAAAGATGGAACTACCATTAATAGAGACAGTGAAGAAAAATGCTTACGAACACAATATATTTAAATTTTGATGATTCATAAGCTCTTGCTGAAGTTCTTAGAACTTGCCTTGTCAAGTGAGAAGTGGGTCAAGAGTAGAGTCCTGTGTGCAGCAGATATAGTCATGCCATACCCATGTCCTTAACCCACCTTCTCAGTGTATGCCAGTCTGACTTCCTCTGGCTAGCAGCTGCCACCAGAGTCCCCTTGGTCGGCCACATGGCAGATGGGAACTGCCAGGGAAAAATTCTTCCTGGAACAGTCTGGACTGGATGTAGACATATCCCAGCTCCCTTGCCCCTCAGGTGAGATGACTTGGAGATGTGACCCTTCTTATTGGTTCTTTCTTTCTCCAATTCACTTCTCCAATTGCCTAAGGGTGTGTCCTGGGATCACTTCCAAAATAAACTACTTGAACTTGAATCTTTGTCTCAGTGTTTGCTTTTAGGGGAAGCCAAACTAACACACTACTAAACCAAAAAACCTCACTGCCGTCAAGTTGGTTCCGACCCATAGCAACGCCTCCTTGCATTTCCAAGGCGGTATCTCTATGAAAGTAGATTGCCCAGTCTTCCTTCTGAGGATTGGATGGTGGGTTTGGACCACCAGCCTTCTGGTTAGCAGTCCAATGCCTTAGGCTAGCTTGCAAGGTTGTTTCTGGTTTGCCTGGGACTGTGAGGTTCCTGGGACATGAGAATCTCAATGCTAAACCTGGAAAAGTGTTGGACAAATCTGGATGAGTTGGCCACTCTAATAGGAAGAGAGTGTTGTATCAGGAAAAGGAGATCAACAGAGTCAAATGTGACCAAGTTGGATACGATTGAGAAGCAATCGTATCTAACTTAACATGGAGAAAGCCTTTGGTATATTGAGTCATTCTTTCAATGACTTCAATTCTTTCAATTTCTGGAAGCAGAAGTCAGACTGCAGTGGTTGAGCAGTGAGTGGGTGGGAGGAAGTAGAGACAGCAGAGAGTAAACAACCTTTTCTAGAATTTGGCTGTGAAGAGGAGGAGAGATATAGAGAGGTTATTAAAGCAAGAGAGAAGTTGAGAGAGGATTTTTTGGGTAGAAGGGACCTGAACATGAGTCTCCCCTTTACTCTTTCAAAACCTACTGTTCCTATATTAGGTCTCTCAGCTCTTCTAGCCTGACTTTCTTCTTTGTGATTTTCATCCTTCTGTGTTTTACTCTTTGCTTTGAGATATTTATTCCACATGGTCTTCTAAGCCACTGATGTGGCTCTTGACAGTGATCACCCAATTCTTTAATTCATTCCACAAAATTTCCCATGCAGAAAGCATGTCTTTTTAGCTCTAGAAAGCTTTTCTGGTGCTACATTTGAACCTCCTTAAGTTCTTATTTTTACTATTCTTGTTTAAAGTTGCTAGCTGTTTACTCCAGCATGTCTGTTTTGTTGGATATCAGGTTACTTGGATCATCCTCTTTGCAGTTGCTGGATCTACTCACAAATTGTCACTTTTCTTTGGGGCTCAGCTCTAGGCTTCACAACTCTAAGCAGTGGCACTTTCCCAAATAATGTAAGGAGATGGGTTCTCCAGCTCAGTGGGTCCATGTGTACACTAGGCAGATGTGCAGAAGTGCCTCCCTGCTTCTCAATCTCCTTACTTCCTGCCAAGATCCTCTTGGGGTTCTTGGGAACCAGAGAGACCACACACACACACACACACACACGCACACGCACAAACATGAGCTGATGCTAACCTTATCCAAGAGGTTCATAGATTCCTGTGGCCCAGACTCTTCCTAGGATAGATTGTATCTTGTCCTCACCCCAGAACACTCTTCAGCATATTCCAGGGCTCTCACCTGATATATGGGGGTGAACCTCCAACTCCAGCTGCTCCTTCATGGGCTCCTGCAGATAGGAACCTCACTCCCACCCAGATGCCATGGGTCTCAGAAGGCTTTGGTTCAAAAGGGACAGATATATTGGGATTGGGAGTGGAGGGGAATCAAGACATATTTAGTCATTTTCCTAGAATCTCTCATTTCTATCTTATACAGGGGTTGGAAAACTACAGCCTAGAGACCAAATTCTGTCTTCAGCCTGTTTTTGTATGGCCAGTGAGCTAGGAATGTATCCATATCATATATATTTACATTTACATATGCAATATATGTTTTATATACTGATTTTATATCTATATTTTACCTCTATCTATCATCTATCTGTCTGTATCATCTATCATCTATCTATCTATCATCTCTCTAATCTATCCTGTGTGTGTTTGTGTGACAGAGAGTATATATGGCCTGAAAAAAATCAAGTATTTACTATATACCCTTTACAGAAAAAGTTTACTGACTACTTTTAGCATATTTAAATGCCAATGAATTAGAACTGGAGAGATGGCACAGGTGAGATGGAAGACTTAGGAGAGAGAAGGGATAATCAATGGAAGAAGGTCTCTAAAGAGGCAGGGGGGCATGAGATCCAAAGAATAGATGAAGGGGTTAGCTTTATAAGGGGGAGGGGGCCCTTTGCCCTTGTGGCAGAACATAGGAGGAGGCGATTGGGGGAAGGAAGCAAGGATGGGTATGAATGCAGATACATTTGTAAGTGTGTTTATTTTTCTTTGAAGTAGAAGACACAATCTTCTGCCTTATGTAAAAGGAAAGATGATGAGGATTGAGGAAGGAGGTGAAAGCCTTGAACTCTTCCTGTGGAAAAGTTGGCTAGGGATAGGAAGAGAGATCCACATGTAGCATAGAGGATCTTGTTTAGTGCATAGAGTTGAATTTGTGATGGCTCCAAGCTGAGTGATCCTCAGATCTCACTGCCTTGATGAAGGAATGGAGAAGAGACTTGGTTGGTTCATGAGAAAGGACTCTTTGGGGTGCAAGTAGTGGATCCCCTGACTCAAAATAGCTTAGTTATAGAGATTTGTTTGTCTTACACAGCAGAAAGTCAAAGCGTTGGCTCAGTAACTTGACAATGTTGTAAAAGCCCAGATTATTCTCATCTTTCCATTCTTCCATCCTTAGTATTCCCATCACGTCTTCCTTCCAAGTAATATATTGTTGTATGACAGCATCCCAAAGCAGGAAGTAAGAGCAGGCTCTCCTTGAATTTGTCTTTGTTTTTATCGATGAAAAAATATTTTCCAGTAGGCTCTTCTTATATCCCATTGGCTAGAAGTTGTCCAAATGCCCATCCTCATTCCATCTATAACAAATGAGAAGGAGATCACAAGGGTTAGCATAAACCAGGATTTCTCATCCTCAGCACTATTGATATTTGTGGATGAATAATTGCTTGTTGGTAGGCTCTCCTATGCACTCTAGGTTGTTTAGTAACATCCCTGGCCAGACCAACCCAAAATGTCTAATGCCAAATGTCCCTGTGTATGTGAAGAAAACACTCCTAGTTGATTAATTGTTGACTTAGATCAATTTCAATTGACCCCTTCGGCCTGGGCACATTGCTGTCCCAAATCTGAGAATAATCAAGGTTGCTGCTGAGTTGACCATCCACAGTGCCTTCCGTAGTTGGATTGGTCTTGGATTGCATGATTATAAGTGATTTTGGGTTGGTAGAAATGGATACATAGGTAGGAAATGGAATCAGAAAAAGGAAGCAAAGATGCTGAAAACATAGGAAAGAATTATTTGAGGTACTGGGCCATGAGATTTAGGCTGAATAAGGAGGGAGGTGAGGCTAAGAGGAAGCTCATGCTTTGGGGAAGCTGATAATTTGAGGGGCTGGATGAGTTTAAAGAGCAAGTTTAGGAGAGGTGAGAGTAAGACTTTGATGAAAGACCTTGGAAGGGTCCTCTTGTGTTACAAAAAGGAAGTATTTTCAATGGTCATCGTTCTGGTTCCCTAGTGCTGCTCTGACAGGAATCATACCACAAATGGGATGCCTTAACAAACAGGAGTTTATTCTTACAATTTGGAGGCTTTAAGTCCAAGTTCAAAGTGCCAGGCTCTAGGGGTTGGGTGAAAGCCCCTCAACCTTGGCGTCCAGCTCTGCCTCCTGTTCCCGGCCCACTGAAGCTGTCTTCACTCAGATAGCTGCTGGCTGCTGAGGCTGAGAAGTCCCAAGGTTGACAAGTAAAAAGGCAATTTTACCAAACCACATGGCAGGCTGTTAACTTAAGTCCATTGTAAGTCCCAAGGTCAGCAGAGCACGGCAGGCCGCTGAGCAATGACACGGCTACATGCAGGGTCCAAGCGTGCCTGCCATAGGTGAGAGACCATTCTCAAAGCTTCTCCTTATATACAGGAAGCAGACCACATACTCAAAGGTAGCTACCCAGCTGCTTGTGGTAGATCCCACCATGGAGCGGATTGCCAGTCTCCTCATGGGGATTAACTATCACCAGCTGCCCAGCCACTCAACCAGGCCCAGCCAAGTTGACACACAAACCAAACTACCACAGTTATCATTTGGGTATCCAGGTCCAGCACTGCCTGAACACATCATAGCAAAGAGAATTCCAACCCAACACGTGTATGTGGGGAACTTACTATGCAGAACAAACACTTTAGGAAGTAAAGTGTTCTGGTTACCTAGTGCCGCTCTGACAGGAATACACCACAAATGGGATGGCCTTAACAAACAGGAATTTATTCTTAAATTTGGAGGCTTTAAGTTCAAGTTCAAAGTGCCAGGCTCTAGGGGCCATGTGAAAGCCCCTCGACCTTGGCCTTCAGCTCTGCCTCTTGCTCCTGGCCCAATGAAGCTAGAGGCATCTCTTCACTCAGGCAGCTACTGGCTGCTGAGGCCAACAAGCCCAAGGTCGATAAATAAAATGGCACAGTCCCAATGTTACCAAACTACATGGCAGGCCATTAATTCAAGTCCATTGTAAGTCTCCAGGTTGGCAGAGGATGGCAGGCTGCTGAACAACGACAAGGCTACATGCAGGATCCAAGCATGCCATAAGCTAGAGACCATTTTCCAAGACTTCTCCTTATATACAGGAAGCAGACCACATTCCCTAAGACAGCTACTCAGCTACTCACAGTAGACTCCGCCATGGAGTTGATTACGGTCTCTTCATGGGGAAGACTACATCCAGCTGCCCAGCTACTCAACCAGGCCCAGCCAAGCTGACACACCAACTGAACTACCACAGAAAGATGAACTATTTCCTCCAAGGATGATATGTGTATATGTATATAAAATGAACCTTGTATTCCCAATTTATTCCTTATGATGCTAACCAGATCCATGGAGTTAAATGTTCTTATTTTAATATTTTCTCTTCATTTGTCCTGCAAATACCTCCTCCAAACAAAAGAGATGTTTACATTAAAGGTGGAGGTAGGGATACAAGAACAAAATAAAACAAGAAAACAACAACAAAAACTGAGCAAAAGGGCAGGAATGCATTAAAACCAGGGGGTTTCATTCAGCAGGCAAGACAGACATGATCTCCCAGCATTTAGAATCCCAGGGCAGGTGTGGTCTTTTTAGCTTATGTTGGGAAGACTTTTTTTTTTTCTAAAATTTTTATTGTGATTTGGGTGAAAGTTTATAGAGCAAATTTATTTTCCATACAGCAGTTCATACACATTTTGTTTCAGGACATTGGCTGCAATTCCCCACAATTTAACAGTTCTCTTCCAACTTCTTCACTATAGTTACATCTTCCCTGTGTCGTTCCCTCTCATGTATTCCCGCCCCTCCACCTGTCTCCCTGTGCAAACATTGCCCTTCTGTTCCCTTACGATTGATGAGTGTATCTACCTGATGTAAATGTTCACCCCCTATGTTTGTCTATTGTTCGGCTGGAAGTGAGTGAGTTCAGTTCCAGACCTCAGGGTAACTAGGGGCCATAGTCTCAGGGATCTCACCAGGCTCTTCTCATATCAGCAAACTTGGTCTTTTTTCAAAAAATATTTTTATGATTTTGAATTTTGTTCCACATTGTTCTCCCACTGTACCCAGGATCTCTTGTACTGATCTCTTTCTGAGTGGTTGACAGTGGTAGCTGGGTAACATCTAATTCTTCTGGTCTTATGGTCATATAGGCTGAAGACTGCACAGTCTACCAGTTCCTTGGACTAACTATTTCCATGTGTCTTTGGTTTTCTCCATTCTTCTTTGCTCTGGACAAGGAGACACCCTTCGTTGAATCTAGGGTCTCTTGCAAGTTTTTAAGACCCCAGTTGCTACTCATCAAAGTAGAATGTTATGCCAATTGAGCTTGATGTCCCCTGGGACCACAGTCCCAAGTCCACAACAGATCCAACTACTCGCTCCCTCCAGGTAGTTGGCTGTGGCCGAGAAGCCACCACAACCTTGTTCTTTGTCAGCTCTGCTGACATAAATACACCGTATACAAATCTGCATGTAGAACCATTGTCTGCTAACCCTATACATGGTCATGGGCATACTCCCCCCTGCCTAAATTTACCTGATCATTCAGCTTGTCCACCCATCTATGCACCCATCGATCAATGCTTGCCATCACTGACAATGCAGTACTGTACATGCAAAAGGGTTCATCTTTGTTGTCTGTACCTGGGAGGACTTTTCAAGTACCCAGAACAAAGAGTTCTTCCCTTTGTAAAATTTTCAAATATAATGTCCCACTCAGAATTTTAGTTATCTGAATGCTGTTGTTTTTCTATGAAGAAAGGCAAGACTCTAAGCTCTATGAAGGCAGTAACAGTGTTGGTCTTGTTCCTTTCTGTGTGCCCACTGCCTAGCAAACGCCTGACATATTGTAGAACTCAGCAAGTATTCGTTTTGCTTCCCACCAGTGACAGCCTTGTTTGGAAGTCTTGTTTAGATCTGGAACCAGTATCTCCTGTAGCAGCCCATGGGCATAGTTTCTAGTAGTCCTGGCAAGGGACACAGCCAGTTACATGGGTCATTGTATGCAGGAAGCCCAAAGTTATGACCTTCCTCCAGGAGTTTATGACTCATTGTCTGGCAATTTACCAGTTAAGCATAACTTTTACCATAAGTAATGTTGTCTGGTTACACAGCTGACCTTTCTTCTTTATCAAGTTTCCAGGGGAACAGAGCCAGCTAGTTAACAAAGGTCAAATTTGCCCATAGAGAAAGAGAAAGGATTCTGCTAACTCTTTACTCACATCTCATGCCTGGAAAAAAAATGCTGAAGAGATTCTTTTAGTTAAAGCTAATACATTTCTTAAAGGGAGAATACTTTTTATTTTATATTTTCCCCTTCCAAAGGTACACTTATCTTTGAGTTTCCTCAGTGATAAGTAATCATAAAAATAAACATCCTATTGCATTGTGGGGAACAAGTAACTGGAATGTGGTGGTGGGCAGCCTTGGGGATTACTTTGGATTATCTGGGAAACATTTCATAGGTCAGTGAGCTGTCTGAACAGGTCACAATTTCACCCTGATTGAAATTGATTAAGCCTGATGCTCATAAAAATATTTCTGATTACTTAGCAGGCCTAAGACTTTTTTCCTGATCTTTTTTTTTTTTTTTCCTCCCTCTGGGTTCATGTAGAAAGATTTACAATGAATTCACTACCCCTCCAGTGCAATAGTTAAGTGCTTGGCTCCTAACCCAAAGCTCAGAGGTTTGAACCCACAGTGGCTCTGCATGTAGAAAGGGAGAAAAGACCTACTATCTGCTTTTATAAAGATTCCAAAAGCAAACTCATGGCTGTTGAGTAGATTCTGATTCATAGCGAGCCCCATTGGCTTTCCAAGGCTGTAACTCTTTATGGAAGCAGACTGCCTCATCTATCTCCCACAGGGTGGCTGGTGGGTTGGAACAATTGACCTTTTGGTTAGCAACCAAATGCTTTAACCATTATACCACCTGAGTGCCTGTGTAAAGTCCACAGCCTAGAAAACCCTACAAGGCAGATCTCTGCCTTATAAGGTTGCTATGAGTTGGAGTCAACTCAATGACACACAACAACAGCAACAACAACAATGTTCCGGTAAAAGACAGAAGTTTCCTTAGTGACTTCAATGTAGCTTTTCACTGCTGAGGAAAATAACAAATCGTCTTAAGAAATATAGAAGGTGATTTATCAAAATTCTCTCAATGTAAACAAAATATTCTAAGGCTCTGGTGAGCTGATGTGGTGGGTGTGCTCGTGGAAGGCATGAAAGTGAAATGTGACAGGAAGATATTTTATGGTTTGGAGCGTTGGAGCCTTTTGCTCATCCACATACACCTTCTTAGAAGTATTTTCTTTTGTCTCTCCAATGGGACCAATAAGAAAGAACTCTAAAAAGAAGTCTCAGATGATGCTGGGAGCTCGTTCCTTGGTGCACTGAGCCTTAGTGAGATCAATGGAAGAAAGATGGATACCTGCAAATGAGTTCCAGAAGTGTCCTCTGTCTAACATGGCAATTTCTCCCCCCCCCAGGGGGTCCTATTGTTCCCTGCACACATCCCTATAATTAGGTAGAGCATCTGGGGTGGGATCCATTTCACAGAGCCCTTCCCATGGTAGCTACTGACTCCACTGGACTCACATCCACCTTTCTATAGCATCGTGGAGGTTTAGGGGTTGGTGACCACTCTGCTACTTCTATGCTTTAAGTGACCCCTCATAGGGTTCTACTTTAAACGGACACCACGTGGTGTTGGTGATGTTTTATCCCTGCCTCTTTGCATCATGTGAACATATACGAAAGTCAGCTTAAGTATTGTTAGTGAGCTTGTTGTTGTTGTTATGTGCCATTGAGTCAGACCCGACTCATAGCGACCCCTCCTTGGGTTTCCGAGGCAGTATCACTACGGAAGTAGATTGCCCCATCTTCCTTCTGAGGAGTGGCTGGTGGGTTTGAACCGCCAGTCTTCTGGTTAGCAGTCAAGTGCCTTAGGCACTATGCTACCAGAGCTCCTATTGTTAGTGAGCAGGGAAGAGTAAGCAAGGAGCAATGCAGTGAGAAGGAGAGATGCAAAGGAGGTGTTCAGGGCAAGGGCATAACTCTTCCCTCTACCCTCCGTGAAAGGAGCTCTGCACTAAGACAAAGAGAGGAAGTGAGCACCGTCAAAGGGGTGAAACATTAGAATAAGCCACGAGTCCTCTTACCTCACTGGGTTTTGAGTCAGGGCCAACCTTGCTGGAAACTGTATAAACCTCAGGCTCAGATTTTGATTTCACAGTCTCTCTAAACCACTTTTGGTATTGTTTCCAGACCTGGAACATCAAAGGAGACACCAAGATGGTCTTTATTAACATTGGTGAAGAGGAGAAAAGCCAGTGAGTCAGAAACAGAAGAGACTTATTACTGAAAGAGTTTTCCTATAGCACAGAAAGGTCTCTAAACCAAAAAAACCAAAAAAAACAAAAAAACAAAAACCAAACCCGCTTGGTTTCCGAGGCAGTACATCTTTACAGAAGTAGATTGACTGATCTTCCTTCCATTGAGCAGCTGGTAGGTTTGAACCACCAAGTTTCTGGTTAGTGGGCAAATGCCTTTGGCATTGTGCCACCAGAGGTCCTTACAGAAAGGTGTCTGGGTGGTGCAAATGGTTTGCACTGAATAAATAAATAAATGAATAAATAAATATTGGTGGTTTGAACCCATCTGGTGGTATTGCAGAAGAAAGGTCTGGCTATCTGCTTCCATGAAGATTACAGCAAGAAAACTATGGAGCTCAGTTCTGCCTGGTAGAATATGGGGTCACCATGAGCTGGAATTGACTCCACAGTAATTTTTTGTTGGTGTGTTTGTTTGTTTCATATTATAGAATACATCTTTGTTACAGAAAATTGAAAAAAAAGTATGTATATGCAAAAGGAAGTCACAAATCAATTCCTCAAACTACTGAGAATGTTTCGGTAGTCTCCTTCCATATGTCTTTGTGTGAGGTACCCCAGAAGCCTGACACAAGGGATTAAGTTTATTTGGGAGCTGATTCCAACTAAAAAAAAAAAAATGCAGGTCAACAAGGAAGTGAGAGGTAAGAGAAGGCAGCCAGCAAAGAGTGTATTTTTGTCAAGGACATTTCCATTGTGGACAATTTCTACTGTGCTCAGTACCATTGGGGACCTCAGGGAGGAAGCATAGGGCATGCATCCCAAAGTTATCCCACTCGTGGGGCAAGGGAGCTGGAATATTGATCCAACAAATCCCATTAGACATTGGCTGATGGATGATAGTCAGGGGGCATTCCTCTCTGGCACCACCATCTTGTCTTGTGTGTGGGCCAAGCATGTCCTGTGGGCAGTAAGATGCCCACAGGCAGAGTTATAGGTGTTTATATTAAAAAACCTCAGGACTGTGGAGCTGAATGCCAAGAGAATATGAGAGGGCCACCGACAGCATCTTCTATACCAAGGTTTCTCAACCTTGACACTATTAACACTTTGGACTGGATAATTCTCTTTGTGGTTGAGGATTTTAATAGCATCTCTTACCTCTACCTACTAGATGCCAGTAGCATCTCCCCAGGTGTGACAAGCAGAAATATCTCCAGACATTGCCAAATATCCCCTGGGGGGGCACACTAGCCCCTGGTTGAGAAATATTGTGCTATATCTTATATGTTTACACATAAGTAAATCTGTAACAGTAACATACAAAATGAATTTTTATACACATTATATAAAGAAAATGGAACCCCTTCTGAAGTAGTGTTTTATAACTTGCCTTTCCACTTAATATGTTGTGAATATCCTTCCAATCATAATATATTCTTGAGTCTGGACAAAAATGAACATGGGAATGGTCCACGCCTGTGCTCTCTGGGGAACATCTGCTCTGCCAGCTCACTTCCTTCCCCTCCCCCACTCTCTGAGGAGCTGTTTGACTCTTTAGGCTCTTGGATGCAGAGTGAGGGAGAGCAGGAGGGAGGAGGGGAAGGGAAAGAGGAAGGAAGGGAGAGAGGGTGGGTGAGCTGTAAAGCAGGGAGCAGGGGAGAAAGGGTCAAAGAGTAAGGGAATAAGAGGAAGATGGGGCTGGGAAGTTGCTTTTGGGGGACATTTTGAACAAAGTGGGGCCACAACAACGATGAAGGAGAAGAAATTGAGAAAGGAAAGGAATATTCCTGAACCATGCATCCTTCCAGAGTATTTGAGAAGTTCAAGGGAAGAACTTGGGAGCTTTTATATTTCTTCTGGTTGCTGAATGATGTTTATCTCCAGATCTGACTGTGTCGAGCCCAGCTTCATTGAGGCTTCAGTCTTTTAGAATATTATTTCTAAATAATGTTATTGTTATTGTTGTTGTTATGTGCCGTCGAGTTGGACCTGACTCATAGCGACCCCTCTTTGGGTTTCCGAGGCAGTATCACTACAGAAGTAGGATTGCCCAACCTTCCTTCCGAGGAGTGGCTGGGGGGTTTGAACTGCCAGCCTTCTGATGAGCAGTCAAGTGCCTTAGGCACTACGCTACCAGAGCTCCCATTTCTAAATTATAGTACTCCCAATAATACTATTAAAATATATTACTATGGAGACTATAGGAACACATGGAACTGTGTTTAAGAATTCACGTTAAGTGGTGTGGTAAATTGCATTATTGATCTTAATCCTTCACTCTTCTGTAGTAATATTACACCCTCATCCTAGCCTCATGATGGGCAAAGTATTCTTCTGTTGAGTTAGGGCTTGGTCATCTGACTTGCTTTGGCTAATGAGGTGTTAATAGAGGTGATGTAAACAGAACATTGAAATGGTCTTGCCCAGTATTGCCAAGCCAGCCAAGATCAGATGAACTCCTACCAACCTGCTGACCCAAGAATCAGAAAGATTCATTGAGATTTTGAGGCTTTCTGTTACATGGCAATATCTGACTATTACAAATGGAAAAGCTGAACAAAAGCACAATATTTCCTTGATGTATCAATTAGTTACTTTCTAAAAGTATCTTACAATCAATAGTATCTTAAAGTAGAGAAAATACAGTCTTTACATACTGATTATAAGCGTATATGAAAATTTAGGGGAGCTCTGGTGGTGTAGTGCTAAAAGCACTTGATTGCTAACCAGAAGGCTGGTGGTTCAAACCCACCAGCCACTCCTCAGAAGGAAGGTTGGGAGATCTACTTCCCCAGTGATACCTCCTCGGAAACAGAAGAAGGAGTCGCTATGAGTCGGGTCTGACTCGAAGGCATATAACAACAACATGAAAATTTAGAGAACACAGCTTTACGTGTTCATTAACATCTGTACTCCTCAACTTTTCTTTGCTTTTAAACAATAAAGGGCTAATTTACCTGCTGACTAAAGAGGCAGTAGACCAGGAAGATGAAGACCCCCTGCAGGCTGTTGATGATGGTGAAGAGGTAGGCCATGACCTTGGCAGCTGGGCCCACCTGCAAGGTTCCCAGGCACCACGTGCAGCCCAAGATGAAGAGCTGAGCTGTCGCTTTGAGTGTCAACATCCTGAGAGGAATCAGAAACGATGATGTAAAAAATCTAACAATGGGCCCAGACATCCCTATAGTGCAGTTGTTGACAGTGAGGACTATGGAGCTAGAGTGCCTGGGTTGAGATCCAAGCCCTGGCACTAACTAACTATTTGACCTTGGGCAAGTTACTTTACCTTTCTAGTTCCCTTATCATTGTAATAATAGTCCTACCTCACAGGGTTGTTGCAAAGATTAAATGAGCATTAAATATATGTAAAACATATAGGGTAGTATTTGGAAGAAAATTATAAGGCATTTGACTGCTAACCAGAAGGTTAGTGGTTCAAACCCACCAGCTGCTCCATGGAAAGACGATAAGGCAATCTACTTCCCTAAAGATTTACCGCCTTGGAGAGGTTCCGGCAAGATGGTGGACTAGGCGGAAAGACTGCACAGACTCTCTTCAACAAAGAAAAGGGAAACCAATTAACACAGACACAGAAGATAATCCTGGACCCCTAAGCCTTGAAGGGAAGGATATAGAAGTGGACTAAATCCCAACTACCAGAAGAATTTGTGTGAAAATACCAAAAAAGGAGACATTCAGAGCTGCAGTCTGGCAGC